TATATATTGAACTCTGGGGGAAAACGACTGTAGTCACAAACTGGAAATTGTGATGATGCCAATTTGAAAAGCTTGTGGGCTCATGACTTCACATTTTTGTTTGACTTTTGGTTTATTGTTAAGTGTTGTTGAATGGGAGACCTAACAAAAATAATCAACCAACAGTTGAACAGAAATACAGTTTTTATGAGCCAATGAGTGTTCAAAATTGGTGCTCTCTCGATTTTCGGTTAGTGACTACCGTCGTTTTTGCCCTGTAGTCTTCATACACATTTAATCATCGGTGTCCGACTCCAACCGTGTATTCACCAAATTAGTTCAAACACTAAGTGGTTTTGTTTGAAATTTCACTATCGGAATTACAGTTCATGATACTATGATATGTAAAATGAACCCTTCAAAGATTGATATTGGGCAATTCTGAAATTTTTAAGTATTTATCCTGATTTGGTGGATTTGGTTAGAATCAAGCAGCACAAACGATGATACATCTCTCCCTTTATATATATAATTTTTGTTTTGCTTTGTTTTGTTTTTCTGTTTTTCCTATCTAATGCTCTCACTACCTTTGTAGAATAGCTTTTGATTATACTAGGATTTAAGTTTGATTATGACAGCAAAGGGATTTTTTTTTCTTTTGCTGTCATGAGAAAAGGGTTTGGATTTTAAAAATTGGAAGTAGTTAAACTTTCTTTTTGTGGTTTATTCCTTAGTTTAATACCTTTTGTAGAGAGAGAGAGAGTGCAGTGGTTTTTAGTTGTTTTTGTTTTGCATATGTATATGTATGTATATATTCATATGTATATAATATACACTTGTTGTCCTGAGTTTTAAGTAGATTAATGGTCTTTTTTTCAGCCTGAGGGAAGAGAGGTATTAGTGTTGTTTAGAGAGGAATGTTGAATGGAAGCTGACGTAGGCACAGACACAGCTTGTAGACACATTGTGGTGACCTTGGAGATGTGTCACTGACTGTGTCAACCAGAATATTGGGTGTATAGCGGAGAGTTGTGATGTGACCTGACACTCGTCTGTGTGCTGGGGTGGTGCAGGCTACAATAATATGCATGTTCTTGTCTCATATAGGGTGTGCACACTAGACAACTTTCTGGAAGTTGAAATTTTGGGATGATGAACTGTTGATATTTTCCAGTGTCAAGATTTGACCATTGGTGGCTGTAATAGTTGGCTGCCTCAGAATGACAAAGTACTATCTGCTCTCATTTGTTGCCGTTTTGAGTTACTAAGAACATGAGGTCAGAAAGAATATGCTATATGTGACGCATCATGGCGAAATCAGGCGCTCGTCAAAATAATGAAATGAAAGAAAAGGACATTTTCCCATCAGTTTTGCAATTTTTTTCAAAATTTAGTTTTTTGGCTAAACACTTTTTATGTTGATATGAAAATACATTTCCATGTGAATTTTACTGAAAAACAGCCTCACAGTATGTAATTTTCAGTTTTCAATGACTCATAGGCTACTGAAGTTACCAAACTTTGGCGGCCATTTTCTCCTTAATTTAACAACTGAAAACAGTCTACCTCACCCTCTTCAATCACATATATCTGGACGTCGATTCAAGCTAGATGGATATTTTTTTCATTGAAAGCAAGACAAATGAAGAAGATTTCAGATGATTCCGATAACTCCACTTGCCCAAAAATTGACGAGAGCCTGATTCCACCACGTCTTGACACATATGTGCTCTGTCAAAATCATAAGAATATCCGGAGTCATAATTAAGATATTCAAAGAGTTGCATTTGACAAAGCTTGACAAAGCTTGTTATATTGTGAAACTCAAAAATATTTACGTCAAATTTCTCAAAACTAGGCATTGAGCAGATAGAACTTTATGATTCGATGGAGGCAGCGAGGGAGC